GGGCGACGAGAAGCACACCTGCCACCCACTCCCAGCCAGCAGCCAACAGCCAGGTAAGCCACGGCGTTGCAGCGCCCCTAAAATTTTGCGGGTCGCAGGGGTTTGGTTAGGCACCTTCCGACAGTCCTCAAACCGATTTTTTTTTCCTGTTGCCTCCCTACAGTGAATGATTCTTCTCTTTTCTACCTTCCTCCCACAATCACCTCTCTCCCACAATCCTCTCCTCTCCTTCAACCACCAAAAAGGGACTCGTTTCCTTCCATCCTCCACACGCGCAACAATCTCCTCCGCATCGTCATCTTTGTCTTTTGTTTTCCTTTTTTCTCCGGGAAACACAAGATACTGACGTCCTAGCCTAATCAGTGCCTGAGCGAGAGCACCTGCTTAGACGACACAAACAAACTTCGAGAGACATCAGAAGACATCCGCCGTCTTCTTCTTCCCTCTCGTCATCCATCGTTCGCCTTTTGGTTCGACTGTCATTACACGGCCGAACTTTGCCTCTCATCACAATCATTTCCTTCCCAGGAACCGATCGTTTGTCACGAGAGACGTTACGAATACCCTCGATTCTATTTTCGAGCACGATTTCCAAACCCATCAACTTGACGACACCTCATCAACCTACGAACGTTCTTCATCATGGCTGATCAGCTCAACATCAACGGCCTCAATATCGGCTCCACTCAGGAGGCCTCTGGTCGCTCCTCTTACATCCCCCCTCATATGCGAGGCAAGATGGGCCAGGCTCCTCCTGCCGCCGCCGCCGCCCCCGGCGCCGGCGGCCCTCCCAACGTCAACGGCGGCCTCAACAACAGTGCCTGGGCTGGGTCAGTATTATGTTCTCTCCATCTCATTACCGAAGTTCAGTGCTGACCGGTACCTAGTAACAACGGCAACGGCAACTACGGCGGTGGTCGCGGCGGCGGTGACTGGCCTGCCATGGGCGGTCCCGGTGGCCCTGGCGGCCCCCCTGCTCCCGCTGCGGCTGGCGGTCCTCCTCCTCACTACGGTGGCGGTCGCGGCGGTGGTCGCGGCGGCTGGAACGGTGGTGATCGTGGCTACGGCGGTGGCTACGGCGGCAATGCTGGCGGTGCCGGCGGTGCTCCCGCACACACCCGCGGCTCTGGCGATGGTCAGTGGCGCGACGGCAAGCACATTGCTGGACCCGCCAACCCCCGTGTCGAGCGCGAGCTCTTCGGAACCCCAGACGATCCTTCCAAGCAGCACACCGGTATCAACTTTGAGAAGTACGACGACATTCCCGTCGAGGCTTCCGGTCACGACGTTTCCCGAGCCTGTCCTCACGTTCACGAACCCTCCTCTTGATGACCACCTCATCAGCAACATTGGGCTTGCCCACTACAAGGTCCCCACCCCCGTTCAGAAGTACTCTATCCCCATTGTCATGGGTGGCCGTGACTTGATGGCTTGTGCCCAGACTGGTTCCGGCAAGACTGGTGGTTTCCTCTTCCCCATCCTTTCTCAGGCCTTCATCAACGGTCCCTCGCCCGTTCCCGCCAACGCCGCCGGTGGCAGCTTTGGTCGTCAGCGCAAGGCCTACCCCACCTCGCTGATCCTCGCCCCCACTCGTGAGCTTGTCTCGCAGATCTACGACGAGTCTCGCAAGTTCGCCTACCGTTCGTGGGTTCGCCCTTGCGTTGTCTACGGTGGTGCCGACATTGGTTCTCAGCTCCGCCAGATTGAGCGCGGTTGCGATCTCCTGGTTGCCACTCCTGGTCGTCTCGTCGATCTGATTGAGCGCGGTCGCATCTCCCTGCAGAACATTAAGTATCTTGTGCTCGATGAGGCTGATCGCATGCTTGACATGGGTTTCGAGCCTCAGATTCGCCGTATCGTTGAGGGAGAGGACATGCCCGGTGTTCAGAACCGCCAGACTCTCATGTTCTCCGCCACCTTCCCCCGCGATATCCAGATGCTGGCCCGTGACTTCCTCAAGGACTACGTCTTCCTCTCTGTCGGTCGTGTTGGCTCCACTTCGGAGAACATCACCCAGAAGGTCGAGTACGTCGAGGACGTCGACAAGCGCTCTGTTCTTCTCGACATTCTCCACACCCACGGCGCAGGTCTCACGCTGATTTTCGTCGAAACCAAGCGCATGGCCGATTCGCTCTCGGACTTCCTCATCAACCAGAGCTTCCCTGCCACTTCCATCCACGGAGATCGTACTCAGCGCGAGCGTGAGCGCGCCCTCGAGTTCTTCCGTAACGGCCGCTGCCCCATTCTGGTTGCCACCGCCGTTGCCGCTCGTGGTCTCGATATTCCCAACGTCACCCACGTTGTCAACTACGATCTACCCACCGACATTGACGACTACGTCCACCGCATCGGTCGTACTGGTCGTGCCGGCAACACTGGCCACTCCACAGCCTTCTTCAACCGCGGCAACCGTGGTGTCGTCCGCGAGCTACTCGAGCTGCTCAAGGAAGCTAACCAGGAGGTTCCCCAATTCCTCGAGACTATCGCTCGTGAGTCTTCCTACGGCGGCGGCGGCCGTGGTAGATCCGGCGGTGGTCGTGGCCGTGGACAGGGTGCCAACCGCGATTTCCGTAAATTCGGCGGTGGCGGCTTCAGCAGCGGCGGCGGCGGCGGCTTCGGTGGTCCCCCCAGCAGCGGCTACAGTGGCGGCGGCGGCGGCGGCTTCGGAGGTCCTCCTCCTAATCCCAGCTACGGCGGTGGCGGTGGTGGCTACGGCGGCGGCTACGGCGGTGGCGGCGGCGGCGGCAACTATGGCAACCCTGGCAGCGGCGCTGGCGGCCAGTCTTGGTGGTAAATACAACCCAACCATCTGGTCTTTCGGCGGTTGAGGTATTGTTTTGCCTCCCAATTCCGCTGTACGCTTCTAGGTTGCCTGCTTTCTGCCGCAACGTTGTCTCTATTTTTCTTTTCCTTTTCATTTCCTTTTTGATGCATTTCGACTCGACTTTGCATTTCAGCACGGCAGCATGACCCAAATCCGCGAGACGGTAGCCTCTCACTGCAATGAGAAGCTAAACAGGGCGTCAGGACATGAACGACATCCATCGATAGAGCGTTTGTTTTCGCTGGTCCCCCAACCGATGATACCCTATAGACCGCAGGGGGAAACCTTCAGGAGAGGCAGAGCACACAGCATACGCGAGACGCGCAGGGCTAGCGCGTCCTGGTCTACGGCCTTCATTTTTCATCACCATGGAAGGTGATTTGACGGCCACGGAGATCATGCATGTGTCTGCTCTCTCTACCCAGTTTTCCCGACAGGCATTTCTCGCCTTTCGACGGAGGATAGAGGGCTCATGCATCTTGCCGTGCATCATAGACAAAAGTGGATTTTCTCGGTTCTCAGTTTTCGGTTCTCTGGTCTATAATATCTCATGAGGCACGGTGTTGCCTTCAGAGGGCGGCAACGGCACCAGGAACGGGCTGGCAACTATGGAATAGTTGGCAGAGCGTTTTTCGAGAGCACTGACGATGGCCTTCCCATTCGAGGATGGGGCTTTCGCGGAAGGGATACCAAAAGTTCTTGTTCTTCAGAAACCAGCGGCTCATTTGGAATGAGCATTTGCCTTCCGACTCTCGCGTGCGATAGCGAGGAGTCGAGAGGCTGCAGGTCTTCGGTCACTGCGTAACCTCGGGGCGGAATCCGGGGGCGCGACCTTGACCGGACCATGGAATCCGGAGATGGACAGCTCGTATGAACTGAGAAGACCCCAATAAAAACACTTGCTGAATACTCTATGATGGCCCCAATCGTGATGTTACCTTTGGCTCTTGTGAACAATCCTCGTCTTCTGAGAAGAGGGATCCAAAGCTGAGGTACCTTAGGTAAGCTACAATGCCACGCAATGCTTAGTCACGGTACTCTCAATCCGGCTCTCTCCTTCCAGACTCGATTTTCAGTAGCTGCACGTCCGGTAAGTGGGTCCTTGGTGACACGCGTCTATTGGAACAAAGCTCAAAGGCTCGTGTCCTCGGTGAGCCGGTGAGGTGATCCGACGAGGCGTGGCCCTTGCGATGGGCGCAATTCAGGGCCGCAAGGTTCCGTAGTAGTCAGTCACGACCTACAAAAATACTTTGCGGCTACCCTCATCCAAGTTCCATATCCCTCCGTCAGTCGCCCGCTTGTGCCATCTACCATCCTTCTGATTCCGTCTCCCAACATATACTTCAACACGGACTCCAAAGATAGAGGTTAATGGTGAACGCCATCAATTCGATGTCCCGTTGATCCATCTCCCTGCGCGACTCGATCATCACCTCACTGGAATCTTTCACGTATCGACAGTCGCGAACTCCCATCAATCCAAAACATTTCGCCAGCGCGAGCATCCATCAATCCGAGTCACGAGCTCGCTGTAAGGGCAGCCATAGAGCCTGTCGCCTTAGAAAATGGCGTCCCGATCACCTACTAGCTCAGCGGTTGCTGGCCCTGCCTCCGACATAGAAGCACCCAGTTCACCCATACATCGAGATGAGGGCAAATCATTCTTGTCGCAGGCCATGACGGAAGATGAAGACACACGAATGATCGACATGACGCCCGAGCCGGCAGAGAAGACTGGACGCGGCAAGGGCAAGTCGCAGGGCAAGGACAAAGATGGAGGCACAATTGGCAAGATTAGACATCTCAAGAAAGAGGACGGTGAGCCGCTGTGGCGAAAAGACATTCAACACGATTTCCTCAAGGCTGTCTTTGATGACATGACACCTGCCTTTACCAACTCGTACGAACCTGGACGCGACAAACAGAACTTTGCCGACCTCTACATAGACACCATGTCAAGGAGCAGCAAGACGAGCAAAGTCTTACGCGACAAGCTGCTGAGCGATCGAGATGCCGCAAAGGGCATGGCAATGGTGTGCCTGCTCGTGAACATTGGGCGGATGAACACAACACTAAACTGTAAGGCACCCAAGTTCACCCCACACTACCATGCAATCAATTGACACAATGAATCACAGTCTTCCCCGAGATGCGAGCCCAACTTCGTACCTACCATGCCATTCCTTCGCTGCAGGCACACCAAGACCCCCACGCATACAAACAGCTCCAGGATGCGCCTCGTTTGAAGTCCATCCTGAAGGGCGGGGCCGAGGACCGACAGGAGCCTGGGAGTCTCAATAAGATCAAAGCCCGCGACTGTCCGCGTACCAACCCGGTCAACCTCTTGTTCGTAATATGCAACGCTGCTCTTAAGGTAGCAGAGTTGCATTTTCCTCCTGGGCAAGAGTTCCACGATCTTGTCATGAAGACAAATTACACGAGCAAGTCTCGGGCCAAGGCCTTTTTGTGGATCATGTGGTTCTACCTAGAGTCTGACTTTACTGAGGAAGGCTGCGACGAGAACCCTTTTGGTCGCGGCGTGGACTACGGCGTAGACGTTGCAAATCAGGGCGTGCCACGCCTCGAGGAGATGACGCCTGAGGAGGAGGCTCGTGAGAACATTGACACGCCCAAGGAAATGGAGTTTGGTCACGAGAGGCAGAAAACGCGTGCTAAGATTCTCGAAGCCGATCAGCAGTTTCTTGACAACCAGAGCAAGCGTGGGGGACGGGGTGGCAATCGCGTGCCCGTGGAAGACGGCCCAGCAATATTGCCCAGGATCCGACCTTCGCGCAACGAATCGGACATGGATAGCATCCGGTCGACTCCGCCGCCGAAACTGCTTGGTCATTTAGGGGCTAAAAGCTCAGGTCGCCGGGGCGGCGCGTCGCTCAAGTACCAGGCCTTCGAGGCCTCATCGCCCGGCGGGCCTGGGGCGGAGGGCATCATCGCTAGAAAGCCAAGACCACCAACAGCTCACCAGCTAGCGGTAGAACGCAACCGCAGTCAGCGTGTGGAGCATATCCTGGACCAGGGGTTGCGTAAAGAGCACCGCAGGGCTCGTAAGCTTCGCAAAGCGGAAGGCCATCTTTTGCGAGCCATGCGACGGATCAAGCAGATGGAAGATCCACTTGAAGACAGCGATGTCGAAGACGAAGTACGACGCGAGTTGTCTGCCGGTGGCCCGCTGCGAGATGCTGGCCAGTTCCGTCATCGCGGCATGGCGGGACTCACCCCGCTCAAGTCTGAAGATGACGACTTTGGGGAAGAGTCGGCAGCGATATCCGCAGCATACCGGCGGGCCAATCGTCGTCTGGCGCGGTGGGCGCAGTACAAGGGAACTGGTCGAGGCGTGATCGCACCCGTCAAGAAGCGCAGCCTTGTGAACGGAGCAGCCGAGCCAGAGGAAAACGGCGACATTGGTGAAGTCGGCGACGAGACGCTGCTGGCAGGGGACGAGGGCCATGGCGACGAGCGCGTCAACGGACACACTAACGGTGACGTGACGATGGCTGACGACGGCGACGAGGTGGATGATATTGAAGACGCAGACAGGACAGTTGTCGGGGCTAATAGCGGCGGAGAGGAGGAGGAGCTCGACGACATGGAAAGGTCTCTGCTGGGCATGGCGCCCGGTGATGAGGACGATTCGTCTGACTCGGACTAGGTCAAGGGTCGAGGCATATGAAGCTTTGTGTACCGCACTACCTGTATTATATGAATGCACGAACAAGGTGGCTTGGGGGTTACGGGACATTGAGTTGCTTCATTCAAAATAGCACGTAGAAGCAGCTTTACCTTGAGGCGTTACTCTGCACATGAGATTTCTTCCATCATGGCGGCGCAACAGTGAGTTGCTATAAGTAGACTTTCTGGTCTGTCGAACTTGCCTACTGTTGCCGCGAACCACCCCCCCCCCCTTTCCCAGGTGAATTCTTCGAAACCATGCTGAACGTGTAGTGCTGACATTGGGAGAATGAGTGACACCCACAGGCAATTGTAGGAAGCGGTAGCATCCCCTGCTTGGCCATGGACGCATAGGCGTGGCGCGTCAATTCCTGGCGGGCGAGTCGACCAGGCCTCTTGACCTTTGAGGACAAGGATAAGGTGCTTCAGCTAGCTGGCACAGACGGTCTGGCAAGGCCATGGTGAAAACATGGCCAGACTGGACAAATTTAATTTGTTCAGTTTCAAACCCCATTCTATGTGCTGTTGCGCCGAACATTCAACGTCTTCGTGTTTGGGCGCAAACTATGCTTTTGACGTTGAATTCTCACGCCTCCAAGCGGAACATCCCTGTTCTATTGTAAGAAATGTACAGCATCAAGTCTCCCCCCGCACGATGGTAATCAATATAAGCTTCAGCGTCGCAGATCGGGTGACAGCGTTTCTGATACTCTGGTGTAGCATCGAGTCAGTGACAAGGCGACAATTACACAGCAAAAGCTCGACGTTGAGCGAGACGCATCAAACGAGTCCAAAAGCCTCCGCTCTGCCCGACTTCCGAAGGTATGAGGACGACATAGCTTGATCACACGGAAGGATTGAACGGAGGGTTTTGACTGGAACCAACTGGAACCAGACTTCAAGTTCAATAGGTAGGATGCAGCACAAACGTGGCTTAAATGTGTGTGGCTGATCTCCCGTGCGGACTAGGGCCGAGGCACGGGGAGTGATTCGGGGCCGAATCGGCAGGGGTCACAGGGCACTCGACCTTTGCAGTCGATGGGTGGGCGAATGATTCATGACCTGTTCCCTGCCTTATCGAGGTATGACTGGGGCGGGTTCGCCTCCTGGCTTGCGATCTCTGGCTTTTTCTGTTGCATCGATCCTTTGAATAACCGTCCGGTCCCGTCTGGTCCTCTGACGGACTACATAATCAAGAACGAACTAGAGGAACGACCAGTCGGGAAGGTCATTTCCCCCAGGCTGCAGTAGTGACGACACTGAATGCCGCGTAAAGACCATGGAGTTTACGGATGTAATGAAAAGAGACAAGGCAAGCCGGGTCGGAGGTCGGAGGTCATCGAGGCCGACAGGTGGGGGGAAGACGCTAGTGTGTGCTGTGTACGGACAACGCTTGATTATCAATTCGCATGCTCGGACTTGCTCCACTTGCAAGTGCGAGGTGCGCCGCGTTGTAACACGATGGGCAGTCGCCCCTGCCACTGCCACTACTAGGTGCTTTCCCACGGCTTCAGCACCCACACGGCACCGATGCGGCACGTTCTTTCCGGGGAAAGAGCAGCCCCAAGGGCCAAGGGGGTCGGCTAGGCACACGGATTCGTTGCAGGTCAGGTCATTGGCCTGGCAAGGATCCAATATGGGTACATAGTGGAAGGCCTGGCCTGTTTGCCTTCATCTACCTACCTAACCTACCTTGTCTGTTGATGACATCTATACACGAGCACTGCACTCAAACGACCTAAAAGTTCCATCCAGTTGGAGGATCAGGCCATCCACACACACTCTCTCTCCAGGACTCCCACCTGCTGGTCCTGTATCTCAAATTCCGACACCTAGCGACGGTTCAGACATAGCGAGCCCTATCATATATTTTGGTTTGCGTGGGACTTTGTCGTGCCAACTTTTCCTCGTGGCAAGGCGACTCACAGGCGCCACACCGCAGCCTGAATCTACCTCAATCCGCCTTGGCGCGGCCAGTCGGACACTCTTTGACTAGAAGCCGAGCTACTGCCATGTTACAAACATAAACAAGACAACTCAAAATCAGACTCGAGGTATTACGCATTCTACCAACTGGCAGTATACCCGGACATCCTTCCAGCAGACCATGCCAGAACCTGCCGACAAGGAGGTTAAGGCTCCCGATCAGCTAGCTGCCTCCGTTCAACCCAACGATGCCACAGAGGCAGTTGGAGGCCCGGCCACCCTCGGCTCAGAGCATGACGAAAGGATCGAGGAAAGGAAGAGCTCGAGTGACGAAGATGAGAAGGCTAAAAGGGCCAAGCTCCAGCGGTCGGCTAGCCATGCCACCGATGCCAGTGCGACCACCACTGCTTCAAGACCACAACCTCCTGAAAAGAAGCCGTGGTACAAAACACCAAATCCGTTGCGGTGGGGCTCTACACCACCAGTACCCAAAGAACGCGGAGAATCTAGAGAGTATCACGCTGGTTTCTTTAGTCTGTTGATATTCCACTGGATGGGACCGCTAATGAACGTAAGCCATTCTTGCCCAAACTCGTCCCTCGACGCGACTCCCCGCTTGAATGCTCTGCTGAAACAAAATATCACAGGTTGGCTACAAGCGACAATTGGAGCACAATGATCTATGGCACGTCAATCCGGATCGCACAGCCGAGAAATTGTCGTTGAAGCTCCAGGCTTCGTTTGAGAAGCGCGTCAAAAAGGGGGAGAAGTATCCTCTGTTATGGGCCATGCATGAGACCTTTTTCTTTGAATTCTGGCTCGGTGGTATGCTCCAGGTCATGTCAACAGTCTTCCAGGTCTTGTCCCCCTTCACGCTGCGCTTCCTCATCCAGTTCGCCAACGATGCCTGGGATGCCACACGTAGCGACTCGCCACCTCCTCCGATCGGCCACGGCATCGGCCTTGTCCTTGGCGTGACTTTCATGCAGGTTTTCCAGAGTTTGGGCACGAATCACTTCATTTATCGTGGCATGATCGTTGGAGGCCAGGCTCGAGCTGTACTCATTAGTATCATCTTCGAGAAGTCCATGTCTATATCTGGCAGAGCCAAAGCTGGCGGACTGCTGGTCGCTGACGATCTCGGCGCTGAAACTGGCCGGGGACAGGGCGACCAAGTGAAGCAGAAGACAAAGACGCAGAAGAAGGCTAAAAAATGCGACGGAACCTGCCAAAGGGCCGGGGATCTCGGGCGACGGCACTGGCTGGGGCAACGGCCGCATCGTCAACCTGATGAGCGTTGACACGTACCGCATCGACCAAGCCTCGGCCCTCTTTCACATGATATGGACAGCCCCCATATCCATCCTCGTCACCTTGGCTCTTCTAGTCGTAAATCTGAGTTACAGCGCATTGGCTGGCTTCGCACTGCTTGTCGTCGGCATTCCTCTCCTCACCAGAGCCATCAGAAGCCTGTTCAGAAGGCGCAAGGCCATCAACAAAATTACCGATCAGAGAGTCAGTCTCACTCAGGAAGTACTATCCTCGGTTCGGTTTGTCAAATACTTCGGCTGGGAGACTGCGTTCCTCGATCGTCTCAAGGAGATTCGCAAGCGCGAGATTTACAGCATCCAGATCCTCCTGGCGATCCGAAACGCAATCAACGCCGTTAGCATGTCATTGCCCATCTTCGCTTCCATGTTGGCGTTCATCACATACTCTCTCACGAACAACAACATGAATCCCGCCGAAGTTTTCTCCTCTTTGGCGCTCTTCAATGGTCTGAGAATGCCCCTGAACCTGCTACCTCTAGTTCTTGGGCAAGTTGTCGATGCGTGGTCATCCGTCAAGCGTATTCAGGAGTTCCTGCTCGCGGAAGAACAAGAGGAGGATGTTGTGCGGAAGCCTGACGGCAAGCATGCTCTAGAGATGCACGGCGCTGATTTTACCTGGGAGAGGACGCCTTCTCAAGACGCCGACAAGGTTGCCGATGCCACGAAAAGTGCCAAGGACACCAAAACAACCAGCGAGACTGAGAAATCTGGACAGCGGCCACCGTCTGCAGGCGACAGTTCAGGCGGTAGTACTCTTATCGAAGAAGAGCGAGAGCCATTCAAGCTACGAGGCATGGACTTTAAGATTCATCGCAATGAGCTGGTTGCGGTCATTGGGACCGTGGGCAGCGGTAAAAGCTCTCTTCTTGCTGCTTTGGCAGGCGACATGAGGAAAACGTCAGGTGAGGTCGTCTTGGGCGCGTCGAGAGCTTTTTGCCCTCAGTACGCGTGGATTCAGAATGCGACTGTCAGGGATAATATCCTTTTCGGAAAAGACATGAACAGGGAGTGGTATAACGAGGTCATCGATGCGTAAGTCTTCTCATACTCATACCTTGTACAAGGTTGACCATTCATCAGGTGCGCTCTTCGCCCGGATCTTGAAATGCTGCCCAACGGTGACAAGACAGAAATCGGGGAGCGAGGCATCACCATCTCTGGCGGCCAGAAGCAGCGCCTAAACATCGCCAGGGCAATCTATTACGACTCAGACATTGTTCTCATGGACGACCCCCTCAGTGCTGTTGACGCTCACGTTGGACGCCACATCTTCGACAGCGCCATTCTTGGATTATTGAAAGACAAGTGCCGCATTCTCGCCACGCATCAACTTTGGGTACTCAACCGAGTCGATCGAATTATCTGGATGGAGGGTGGCAAAATCATGGCTGTGGACACTTTCGACAACTTAATGAAGAATTACGAGAGCTTCCGGCAACTGATGGAAACGACCGCAGTCGAAGAGACCAGTGAGGCCACTCCTCAGACTAATGAGCCAGTAGCCACGAGCGGCGGCAAGAAAAAGAAGAGTGCTGCGTTGATGCAGCAAGAAGAAAAGGCTGTATCGAGTGTGCCTTGGTCGGTTTATAACGCTTACATTCGCGCGTCGGGCTCGATCTTCAACGCCCCCCTGGTCTTGTTTCTATTGGCCCTCTCATTAGGAGCCAACCTCATGACTGGTCTGTGGCTATCCTACTGGACCAGCGACAAGTATGGCATGACGACAGGCGCCTACATTGGCATCTATGCTGCGCTTGGCGTTCTTCAAGCATTGCTCATGTTTGGCTTTTCAATCTGTCTCTCCATCTTCGGCACAGCATCCAGTCGAGTCATGCTTCGCCAGGCTGTCACAAGAGCATTACGAGCACCTATGTCCTTTTTTGACACGACACCCCTGGGGCGAATCACCAATCGCTTCTCGAGGGATGTGGATGTCATGGACAATACGCTGACGGATGCCATGAGGATGTACTTTCTCACGCTCGGCATGATCATATCCGTTTTTGCACTCATCATCGCTTTCTTCCCCTGGTTTGCCATCGCACTGGTACCCTTATTCTTCATGTTCATCTTTGCCGCAGCCTACTACCGCGCATCAGCTCGAGAGGTCAAGCGTTTCGAGTCGGTCCTGCGGTCGACCGTTTTCGCCAAATTCAGCGAAGGGCTTAGTGGCGTGGCTAGTATTCGGGCATACGGCCTGAAGCAGCACTTCATCGAGGATCTTCGCAACTCTATCGACGAGATGAATACCGCGTACTACCTTACCTTCTCAAACCAACGGTGGCTATCAGTGCGGCTTGATGCGATCGGTAATCTGCTTGTTTTGACCGTAGGGATCCTTGTCGTTACCTCACGGTTCAGCGTCTCTCCAAGCATTGGCGGTCTAGTATTGAGCTACATCTTGGGCATTGTTCAGATGATTCAGTTCACTGTACGTCAGCTTGCTGAGGTGGAGAATGGAATGAATGCCGTAGAGCGGCTGCAGTACTATGGGACTCAGTTGGAAGAAGAGGCGCCTCTACACACGATCGAGGTGCGGCCCACGTGGCCAGAGAAGGGAGAGATCATCTTTGACAACGTTGAGATGCGCTATCGCGCCCAGCTGCCGCTCGTGTTGTCGGGATTGTCGATGCATGTTGCGGGTGGAGAGCGAGTGGGCATAGTGGGGAGGACGGGAGCAGGCAAGAGCTCTATCATGTCGACCCTGTTCCGGCTCGTAGAGCTGTCTGGCGGCCACATCATTATCGATGGCATCGATATCTCTACCATCGGGCTCCACGATCTGCGATCCCGCCTCGCCATCATCCCGCAGGACCCAACCCTGTTCCGCGGCACCGTGCGCTCAAACCTCGATCCCTTTCATGAGCACACGGATTTGGAGCTGTGGTCAGCTCTGCGACAGGCTGATCTTGTACCGGCTGACGCCCGTCCCGATGAGCCGCGGACCAAAGACTCCCCACGTGTGCACCTCGACATGGTTGTCGAGGAGGATGGCCTCAACTTCTCCCTCGGCCAGCGACAGCTCATGGCATTAGCTCGCGCTCTTGTTCGCGGTGCCCGTATCATTGTCTGTGACGAGGCTACAAGCTCTGTCGATATGGAGACGGACGACAAGATCCAGAATACCATCGCAACGGGCTTCCGTGGGCGCACGCTCCTCTGCATTGCTCACCGGCTGCGCACCATCATTGGCTACGATCGCATCTGCGTTATGGACGCCGGACGCATCGCAGAACTCGGAACACCGCTTGAGCTTTGGCAGCGGGATGGGATATTCAGAGGCATGTGCGATCGAAGCGGCATACGCGTCGAGGACATTAAAAGCGCCAGCGCCGAGATGGGCACGGCTCATGAGGCGGGCGTTGAGTCGCCCGAGGCTGGGAAGAAGGAAGAAAACATCTGAACATTGCCTGTCTAGTCGGGAGACAGGCGACTCAACATATACGAGGAGTTGGCGTCTGAAGTCTGGAGCGACGGCCACCCACATCCTGCATACATTGTTGATCTCAAAAGGTGTCCGGAGGAGCCCTTGCATTTGGCTGCGTCATGTCTCAGTGGTAAGCAGTGGTTGGCGTTTGGTAGTTGGAAAACAAGCAGGAAAAAGACAATGAAATACGAAAGGTATCTTTACATGGGATCCAACGGCTCCTTCACCTTCACGACAACTGTGATGCCCGCGATGTGACTCTGCGATATCAACCATCGGACAGAGAGAATGAGATGCTGCTCGCGTCCGCTGAGGGCACATGGCCTAAGCAGCCGCGGCGGGGTCTGTCAGGAAGTGCGGTGCGACGTTGGACGGCGATCCGGCAGTAGTCTGGACTGGCGGTGGTGCATCATGTCTCGGATCGCGTGCGACATGGAATCCCTTGCGAGCCAGACTGGCAGGCACCTTCCGCAGCGTGTCACAAGCTGAAGCGGTGAAGAGAGCGAAGTAGAGTTCACGAGGTTCGACGGAGGGCTGGAAAACGTTGCACGTCCACAAGTCCGACGAGGCCGATTGACGATGCGACGGCTACCCATGTCCTTCACATAGCGCACAAGCAAAACAGAGGCAAGGGAGAGAGGGAGAGAGAAAGGATATCAAGTGGGTTCTATTAGTGGCGGAAGAAAAAAAGATAAATAAGATGTACCAGGCCTGGTCCCGTGACGCCGCTCCGAATGCCGTCCCGACAATGATAACCTATACACCAAACCCTACAAGAGGCCGCGGGCGACCAGGTGAATCTATGACAACGTGGTGGCCATGTGAAGAAAACAAATCACCATTTTAAAACACGCCTCAGAAGCGTGGACCCGGAGAGCGCTGGCGCTGGGGATTCGGCGGGGGCATGTTACTCGGGGGGAAGGCCTGCGGGTTTTCGTCGAGGAGGTCTTCCAGGTAGGCACTCGGCGCGCGAGCGCCGTGTGCTGGAGCGGCGAGGTTGAGGGTGCTGGTGCTCATCTCACGGCGAGCCGTGAACTGAGGCGACTCGGGTGGTGAATGCTGGGGCACGGCCCGGCCGACAGGGGCGCCAAGGCCGTTGCCACGCGAGTCGGGGCGCGGATGCAGGTTGGTCAAACTGATAGAGTGCTGATGAGGGTTGCCGCCAGGAGATGAAGATCCGCAGCGTAGAAGCAGAGGGGAGGAAGCGGGAGTCGCGGCTGCCGGCGGTGCCTGCGTTGGCACCAGCGGCAGCGGTGGGCGAGAAGAAGAGGTTGGACTGGCTTGGAGTTCCGGACGGGACGGGTCCGCGGTTGGTGCGTCGAACACCACGGGCCGCGGCGGCGGCGCCAGAGAGAGAAAGCGACGAGTTATGATCGCTGTACTTGTAGAAATGAGCGGGAGGCGCAGGGAAGGCAGCCTTGTCGTTGGCACTGTGCTGCTCCATGGCGGCACGGCGGACTGAGCGATGCAGCAGACAGGCGACGATACCACGCCAGAGAAGGATGCCGAGGCCGAAGGCGCCGAGAATGGCTCCAACAGCGATGAACACAGTGCCCTCGGGAGCCGTCGAGTGTTGCATGAAGGGGGCGTGGAGGGTAGGCGGGACAGCGGCAGGGGCGTAGGTGGGAATCTCCAGGATGGTCTCGATGGTGGGAAAGGTCATGATGGCATCCCCGTCGTCGGTGCCTCCAGTGATCTGAACATCGCCTCCTGTTGTCGTCGCGGTGCCCTGCGTCTGCGAGGTTGTCGCGGCTGTGGCTGTTGGTTGCGTCGCGGATTCACCACCAGAAATGGTCACATCCGCATCGGCAGAGGGCGATGGTGTTGCTGACTCCGCGGCCGTAGACGCCGCCGCAGCGGTAGTCTCCGCCTCGGCCGTGGTTTCTGGCTGTTCTCCAGCAGACGAAGGCTGGTTCGTGTTGGCATTATTGTTATTGTTGTTGCCGCCGTTCTGAGCAAATGTCGTCGTGGTGAAGAGCGCCACAGCAGTGACGGCTGACGAGAGGACGGGCGAGCGCCGCCGGGCGACAAAGCCTAGGCGCACCATGGTCGGTCGAGCGGGAGATTTGAGTTCGTAGGCGTGGATTGCGTGGTAGGCGTGAAAGACCTGGTGGAGGTCGTACAGACTTCCCGCGCTGCAAGGAACTGGTGTCGGGGTCGCAAGACTGGTTGGCCTGTTCGCCGCGTGCAGTGGGATAACGTTTGAAGTCGGACTCAATGTGGAGACAGTAGAGGACGGGGGTTGTCGTTGCAAGAGATAGCCGAATAGAAGTAAAACTGAGAAGAGAAGAGAATGTTGGGCAGAGCTGGCGACAAAGCAACTGCGGGTATCGTATGGGAGCCGCGTGTGGATTGGGCTAAGTTGGTCACGAGAAACAAAGTGAGGGCGAGTAGCCAGAACGAGGGCTGAGGGCTGAGCAGGAGAGGAAGGAACACCTAGAGATCTGGATCTGCACACGGGCGGCAGCAACGGGGGGGGCAGGCAGGGAAGGCAGGCAAACAAATGAGGAAAGCACGAACCACAGTGCTATTTTGCCATTCGACAGGGCAGGTTCAAAGGGGAGAAGGGGGGAAGCGAGAGCGAGAGAGAGGGGCGCAAGCGTGGAAAGGGGGGTCTCGGTCTCGGGCTGGGACCTGAGTGTGCCTGCCTGCCCGCCAGTCTAGGATTGTTCACTGTGTGGCTCCATCCAAGTTCACCGTGAAATACGCTGGGCCCTTGGCCCATCGAGGAAACGACTGGCGGATCGACGGATGCCAGACCCTGGGTGCACTGTGTTCGTATTGGCACTGGTGCATCCCATCGTTCCAGTGCCTCCCTAAAAACAGCCCTCGAAACCGCCCCAGCCCCTGCAGGTCATTCGCAATGCTTATTGCTGCCCTGTCCGACTGTCAACCCACACGAGGTCATCATATGGCATTGCATTCCATTCGATCCGTGCCATTGTCCACTTCTCTCTCCTCTGACGGCCTTTGACGTCGGGGGACCTGTCGTCGCAAAAATAACCAAAAGAAATGGTAGACACGGCAAACGGCGTCCAGTGGCAGATTAAACCAACGCCTCGCTGTTAGTGGCTGCAGGGCTCAACGGGCCTAGCGGCGTGGCAGGCGTGGCAGGTGCGCTTGAAAGGTGGTTCACCAATCGCTCAACCGCCGCTGCGCATCTGCATCATCCATCACAGCAAGGCACTTGGCAGCAGCCGTCTGCCACTTGGGCACTCACTCCCTCACAAAAGTTCCGAAGAAGCAGCACGTCTCCACTAAAACTTTTTTACACCCCGCCGTCGACGACGGGCGGGATCTGGAAATCCCATCACATCAGCCTTGCGATCCAGCCTCGCCCAACTTTTTCTCTCCCCAACGGCCTCACCTCTTCCTTCCGCCCGTCCGCAGCCGACAACCACCATGGGTGTCCAGAAGAAGACCCGCAAGTTCGCCGAGGTACGCCGTCCTCCCTCTCTTTGCTCCCTACCTCTCTTGTTCAAGAACCCCCCCTGCTGCTTGTTAAGCCCCCCATGCTAACGAAAGATCTTCGATGATCACAGGTCAAGCGCGTCATCGGCAAAAACGATGCCCGTCGCAAGGAGAACCTCGCAAAAGCCGAAGCCCTCGCCAAGGCCGAGAAGGCCAAAAAGGCCGGCCCCGACGGCGAGCTCGTCCGCGCCGTGCCCCAGATGCCCTCGCAGATGTTCTTCGCCGCCAACACGTCCCTCGTGCCCCCCTACAGCGTCCTCGTCGACACGTCCTTCTTCAGCCGCACCGTCCAGATGAAGCTGCCGCTGCTCGAGACCATGATGGACTGCCTCTACGCCACCTGCACGCCCATCGTCACCGACTGCGTCATGGCCGAGTTGTCCAAGCTGGGCCCCAAGTTTAGGCTCGCTATGCGCGTCGCAAGGGACGAGAGGTGGGAGAAGGCGAGGTGTACGCACAAGGGTGTATGCTTGAATGACCCTCGGCCTCTGCATGGGGCTGCATCGCTCAGGTTCGCGTTGTTCTGACACAGCATATAGGTTTACGCAGATGACTGCATCGTGGACAAGGTCCAGAAGGACGTAAGGCCTCCTCTTCACCTCCGCCGGAGCCCCCTCGAGACCAACTCACTGACTTTTCGCAGAGAATTTACATTGTCGCAACACAGGATAAGGGTCTGCAGTCTCGCATCAGGAAAATCCCTGGTGTGCCCATCCTCAAGGTTACAAGAGGAAAATACATTATCGAGAGGCTACCGGGTGCACCGGACTCATAGAGCGTGCGTGGCAACAAAAAGAAGCAGAAGAGACATGGCTATGGCGTTGACGGGATGATTTATGGCGGCGTTCCATCTTTCAGTCTGGTTTCTTGTTTTCAATACACGGCATTGGCCCCGTGAGAATCGCAACGGACTTAGGACCTCTTAACCCCGTCCGAGCTCCTATCGTGAACTCAATTCTCGTGCTTGGTCCAGCTCAATCTGCGACGGCAGTTTTCTCTCTCCACACTCGCATACCTCGCCCGACACAGCCTCGGTTTGCGTGTGTGTCTCCTTGGCATTGACGAGTACAAATCCCAAGAGTTGTCGCCAGAAACCTGCATCTCAACCAGGACGATCCTGCTCTGGTGCACACCCCGCAATCCGCCCTCGTCTCTGTCAGCAACCGCCTGGAACTGCACCGAGTTGCCCAATTGCACTGGCGCCTCCCTCATATTCCCTAGCCCCTACAGATTGAGCGTATTAGAAGACGCGGAGACGAATCTGTTCGTGAGATAACATCTCACGTCCCGCCCAAACAGGCCGCATTCGCAATCCACAGCCTTCTTTTCTTTCGTCTCTCCATGGACGGCAGCACCTCCCGATCGTCCGACGACATGGACACGGACATTAGTGGGGCACCTGAAGATAGGTCCGGCACAGGACCCGACACCCTCGGCGAGGTGCATCTCAGCTCCGGCTCCGCCACCGGCGTGGCCGCTACCGCCACCAAGCGCTCCCGCGTCCTGCTCTCCTGCGCTGCGTGCCGCGTTTCCAAGCTGAAATGCGACCGCTCGAGCCCATGCGGCCAGTGCATTCGCAAGGGCCGCCCCGAGGCGTGCCAGTATGCACCCAAGCCGCAGAGGAGGAAGCCCAACCAGAGCATGGCCTCACGGCTGAAGCGACTCGAGGGTATGGTGCGCTCCATGCTCGAGGACGGGGATGTTGTCGTCGATCCTTCGCGAGGGCCGGCAGAAGCGGCGCCGCCACTACCTCCATCCGTAAGGGTTGCGGAGGGCCTGAGGGCTAGCGGGCAGGTGGTGCATGGCGAGAGGGGGTCAACATATATCGGTGCCACGCACTTCATGGCTATGCTTGAGGACGTGAGTTGGCTTCCTCTACTCCTCTTGCCCGTTGGACCTCTGCTGACAAGTTGAGCTGGTAGATCGAGGATCTCAAGAGCTTCTTCGACGAAGAGCAAGACACATTCAAAGACCGGCTTCCACAACAGAAATCTCACGTGTGGGACGAGTACGAGGTTCCCGGTGTCCTACTCTTCTCTAACAGTGACCCTACCTCACCTCGCAGCTTGAACGAAGTGATCAGTATCCTACCTGATCGTCACATTGTCGATCGCCTTGTGATGAGATACTTCGCATCCAAATTCCCATCCCTTTGTATGTCCCCTGTTGAACCCTTCCATCGCCGTCACTGCGCCCCGTCGACAGCTATGTACTGAATTGACTCACTTCGCAGACCTCATACACCGACCTACATTTCTCAACCAGGTAGGTACAATGAAAACGCGTTCTGAGTTGACAACGCAGGCTGACCCTGCTCGACATAGTACCGCGAGTTCTGGGTTGAACCCAGTGGCATCGACTATCACTGGCTGTCGCAGCTCTTCATGGTCATCTGCCTTGCAATACACTTCTCCACGTACACGGCCCCCCACGAGCTCGCGCAAGACTCGCCTGAACCGCCCTTCGAAAGGATGAAGCGTTTCAGGTCCACAGCCGCCTGGTGTCTTGTCAAGGGCAAGTACCACCAGCCCACAGAACAGACGATAGCCTCGTTCCTCATGTACGCCGAAACAGAGTTTCTGCTGAATCGTAACTCGCAAATGAACTGCTATTTGCTAGCATCCACTGTCATGAGACTGATGCTCAAATTGGGTTTCCATCGGGACCCGAGCAAGCTCTCTCACATAAGCGCCTTTCAAGGTGAGATGCGAAGAAGAATGTGGCATATGGGCATGACATTGGACCTGCTCGTTTCTTTCCACATGGGCTTGCCGCCTATGATCCATGGCATCGATAGCGACGTAGCGCTGCCACGGAATGTGCTCGACCGAGATTTCGGCCCCGAAAGCACGGAGCTGCCACCACCCCAGCCAATGACGGACTACACAGACCTGACATATCCCCTGTGCAAGAACAAGCTCATGATATGCTTTGGGCATGTGGCGCGGCTGGCGCACTTGCTGACGCCTCCACCTTATTCAGAGGTACTGAAACTCGATAGCAGTATCGAAGAAGCCTGGGATGCCGTTCCGAGTTTCATGCGAGTGCGACCTATTGAAGAGTCAGTAACAGACCCTGCGACCCAGATCATTCAGCGGTTCGGCCTTGCGTCCATTTACAATAAGAGTCGATGTGTGCTCCATCGTCGGTTTTTGGCCGAATCCATCATGAAGAAAGAGCACGACTACTCCCGGGTCCAGTGTTTGAATGGTGCTGTAACCATGTTGGAGCACCAGTACCATATATGGCACATGTGTCAGCCCGGCAATATACTCAACCAGCATGGATGGTTCGTATCCTCATTGGCGATACACGATTTCCTCTTGTCGGCCATGATTATATTCCTGGTAATCGACAATGAAAAGTATCCGCAAGAAAACAGCGGCTTTGGTGACACGACTGTGCCAAGCAAGGCAGAACTAGTGAGGCTATTGCACCGAGCCCATGGTATCTGGCGTTTCGTCGCAAGAGATCTGCCGGCCGTCAAAAAGACGGCTGACATTGTCGAGACGATGTTGCGAAAAATTGGATCTCCGCCAGGATTTTCTCCCGAGGATTATGGAAACAACGAGTCAGAACCTTCACCAGAAGACCACGGCGACGCGATCAATATTGGTCTGAGCTCTACTTCTTTGTCGGATCTGTCCATCCGTGGTATGGTACCGTGTATGCTCTCCTGACCGATCATCAGCTCACATGCTACAGCTTCAACACAGCCAGTGGCAAACTCGACAGGTGCCCCGATGGCTGCGAATGTACAGCCTCAAGCTTTCACGGGCGCTGGTGTGACGTCTTCTACCTTGCCATTTGGCATCGATTGGACGGGCCGAACCGATCAGGTTGACTGGGTATGCTCACGTCCTGCCAAGTAGCTGAACAGTCTGCTCACATCTGCTAGGGGTATGTCGACAACATTAACCTGCATACAATGCAGGATCATGCCTCCATGGATCTCGAAACGGGAGGGCAATTGTGGTTCGGACCCTCCATCACCATCGATGAAGAACTCAGAGATGCAACAGTGGGCCTCACCAATGAATGGGTTCAGAATGATGGGTTTTCGGGGTAAGAAGGCATGTCGAGCTGATTGTAGCCTTAAGTCTCTTGGCGTAGGACAATATCCAAAAGTCGATTACTGAAATTCAATCATCATCGCCGCTGGTCGAAGAGTGCGTTTCCTGAATGTCAGTGGCCAATGCCCTAGGCTCCATCGACACCTGGGCTTTGCTTGTCTTTCACTTGAATAACATGTTCTTCATTCAAACATTCTTCACTGCGTGACCGAAGTAGAAGGACCCACGATAATGGGGCCTTGGTCGCTAGCAGGGCCGTCTTGAGACTTGGTAATGTCGCTTGCGCCAGAGGTGTTGGATCTAGCGATGGTGCCGGTCCCGCCATAAAGTGGACTAGCTGCGCTGCGGTTGACCACCTGACATGGAAAAAAAAAACATCGTGAAGCGAAGAGTGGAGGTGGGGGATGGTGGTGAGGTCCATGTGTTGAAGGATTCGTCAGTTGGAGTGGGCAATATCCACTGGACCAGCAGAGAGAGCATGCCAATTTGCCCAGCCTCTACTAGGTCGTGAACAAATATCGGTGTCGTTGGGCCCCTCTTCCCCGCAAAGCCCATGGCGGGGTTGCGGACTGAATGACAACTCCCGCGCAGGCTCGAGCAACGCGAAGGACCATGATGGTGGTATCACAGAGGTCGGGTAGAGCTATCAGGAACCGGACGTGGTCTGTCATGGGAAACAGACAACGATTGAATTAGGGGGTTTTGGTAGGTCAGGAATGCTCCGCGGAGATGTCGAAATTGGCGGAGAACGAGAGAAGGGGCCAACACAGAGCTTGCGCCAGGCGGCTCGAAGCATGACGGCATTCGTGTGAGCAAAGACGTTCCTTTGGTTGGCTAGCAACGTTGTACGTAATGAAAAGCGGCCAATTGCATTGGGTGGACAGAGTGTTGGGTTTTGGGTTGCACAATGCCAACACTGAAGCTCATTGCAAAGGCTAACCTGATTCACGGGTGTTGAGAGCGTCGTTTGGATGGCAGGAGCGCTACAACCTGCTTCAGCCGCGGATGGCGCCTTGATCGCTGCTTCAATGACAGACTTGTCCATCACTTGCCCCTCAAGAGACGACGCCCAGTCAGGTTGAGTCCTATGGCGCTAGGCCGTCGTCTCTAGCGACCCTAACAATAGTTATAGAAATGTTGCCTTTGTTAGATTGCCAAAGCGGGCTAGAGGGCCACCAACTGACGAGGCGGGGGTTGCACCTCTCCGGCGACAAGAAGCTAGGGCCGAAGAGTATCGTCTGATGAAAGTTAAGAGAAGAACCGGTGTTCCATGCAGGCCGACCGGCATGGTATGAAGTGGTCCTGGCATACAGGCGCAGATGTGGATCATGTAAAGCGTAAAGTGTGATGGAGGCGGCAGGGGGGGCTCGATGGGGCGCGTGATGGCTAAGGGCGGAAGGCGTTTTGATGGTCGAGATAGCCAGGCGTGGCGTGGATTTGGCCATACGGGGACCAAATGACGATATTCTTGGGCTCTTGCGCCTGAGCTAACCCCCATGGCAGTTTGATTCAGGCAGTCGTGGCAATCCTCCAAATTCCATCTTCTGGATGTCTCGGGGAGGCCAGGGAAATGCCAGGTGGCATAGATTGCGCGAAGTAGAGCCCTCCGCGCGTGGTTCTCCGTAGATCACTAGTGATAAGCTCGGGACCTTGCTGGGCCATGACGAGAGGTGACGAAAAGGCGAGTAGACGGAGACGAATGATGCGATGGAAGGGGTCAGGGTGGGGTGGTCGAGTTGCAGCAGGTCCTCTGCGGTGCCACAACCTTTCCAATCTGGCGGCATCAACCACCACAACCCATTGGGACTCAGGGCTGATTATTTGAGGCGGCCTGTTGCATGCCGGACAGGGTGGACCAAGCGGGTAAAGTATATGTATCGTCAAAGGTGTGTTCGTACAGGGACGTACATGGTAAGGGTACACATTCTGAATAGGTCCAGGCCAAGACGCAAGCAAAGCCCCCAGGGTGACAGTGAGGCCCCGAGATGGATTGGTGAAGAAGGGGTCCATCGGTCAGCGGATGCATGACCTGTCGTTGTGGTGGTGGGCTGGCCCAGCTGGATCGAGCGCAGATGAGAGGTGAAGAGATAAGGAAAAATTTTCGGTCCAGCACGACAGCGCCGACTGGGGATGCTTGGCCCAGCCAACGACCACCAACCTCTTACCTAATGTTCCACCCTTGTGGCCAGGCAGGAGAAAAAGTCAATGAGGGAGGCACGATGGGGACTGTAACGGGGGATGTACATGGTAGGCAGGAACCGTAGGTAAGACAGGTAGTACCTACTACGTACGTATGTACCTACCTGTCTTAGGGGAAACTGCAGGCAGGCCAGGCCGCCAATCCACTCGTTGATCCACGAGCCTTGCCCTTGCCGAATCGCTCAGCACTCGTCCACGCGCTTGCCTGCGCTTGCATCATTTGGCAACAAGTGCGGGCAGCACCGAACGGGCCAGACAACAAACAGGACCGGGGAGGGCACGGTAGGCACGGTGGGCAGGGGCCGGCCTGGAAAGACTAGGGACCAATGTGTTAATAACAAGCAGCGAGCATGATTGGGGGGCTGCAATTCGTGATTTGGACAATGTGTAAAGGCTTTGCGAACCGGAAGCCCGTCTTCTCCATTCGGTCCAGCAGCGAGCCCGGCGGCCGCCACGGCCCCAAGAGCCCAACATGGCACAAGAGGGATAAAGACCAGGCGGGCCCTTCCGTGACTGCTGGGAGATGGAGAGTGCGGTTTCGAGTTGAGGAAACCACGATCCTCTCTGTTGGGGCCAGCAAACACAAAATACCTACCTAGGTACCTACCTATTTACTATTCGTACCCCTTACCTTACTTGCTACCGATCTATCCACGGTATCTCACCAACACCGACGTCCACGTGCTCCTTCCCTTTTCGATATCGAGAGCAAGACAGGAGATAAAGAGGCAACAGTCCCCGTATCATTGCGCCATCACCAGTGACCTTTGCGCCCCACGCGTCTCAGGCGTGTTCAGTCCTGTCTATCTGACTGACTCTCATTCCCATCGCCCGCTCTCCTCCTTAACCACAGAGATTCTCAAGCTTTCCTGAATCTTGGTCTCGTTCAACCCTCCGACAGCATTCATCATCCGGCGCAACGTCACAACCACTCAACCCTTCTGCAGCCCCTCCCAAGTCGGGCCACATCGAACGGCCGACTAGGTGGCAGCCACGCTTGGCCAGCATTCACCCCGATTGGACCATTCCTCATCGACTCTCGCTTCAGATTCGCATGCAGGTTGGCCGCAATACTCACAAACTCTCCACGCCGTCATCTTCGCCAGGATCCCAGGACGGCTTGGCATCGTATTCGTTCGAGCCACCCCTCTTCTATTCCGCCGCCTGCCCTTCCGCTTGATCCCATCCAGTTCAGCAGCCTGTTATCGTTCAGCCCCGGTTTTCACACCAGCCAGAATCGAGGACAGCTCATCATCGTCTGGGCCGCCTGTTCAGCGCGTCTTTGGGAAAAAGACTGGTCGGTACCAGTCATCGTCTAGTCACGTCTTGACCACCGTGATCGCAGCCACACGACCAAATTCCTTCTAGCTTGACGGGACCCCGGATTTCGACTTATCATCCCAGCTTTGACCCCCTCTCTGAGGTCTCATCTGGTCTATCGCGCGCGATTGCTCTATCAGAGCTTGTCCTGACCAGGATCTTGAAGCCCCTTCGTTGCTAACCTCAATATCTTGTCGCTCATCATCTCGCTCACCAATTGCGCAACCCCATCAAGGTGCTCTCTACAGTCTTGACAATCCACCCCGTGCCGCACCGCATACCAACCAACTGGTTTTGACTCTACTCAGAAACAGCAATCTGCTGTCCGACCTCGCTCGTTGTTGCGCTGCAACCGAACGCCTTGCGCCGCTTCGCTTGCCCCTTGCGTCGTGCTGCATTGGATCGCTATCTTTGCTGTTCCTGCTGGCGATAGCTTTAAGCACCTTCATAGGTCCAATTGACCTATCGCTCTCCCAACACCCGGCCCGGGACAAAAAGTCGAGATCCCGATTCTCTCGAGCACAAAGGGTGAACCAAAGCCAGAACCGTCGTCCGGCCGCCGTGGCCCCCCTCCCTTACAGTTCTCCACATCGCCCTGCGCCAGACCCTTTTACTTACACCATCGAATCCGGGGAACAGCGGGGGCAACCCTCTCTCTTTCGTCTTTTGCGCAGACACTTTCCACACAATCTGACTTTCGGCCTTTGTGTCGTCGTCGCAGAATTTCCCGTCCCTCACCTCTCCATCTTCCCTCTACAACACACCTCTCACTGCTGCCTTTCCCGCCGTCTGGTCGTTGCACATTGTTCGTCAGGGCTGCCGAAAGCCTCTCATGGTGACCCTCATGCCTTCTCAACTCAGCAGGGTCGGGATACCTATCCGCCCCGCCACGCATCACCTCAACCACCAACGCGACCAGCCAGCAACCGAGTTCAACAAGACACATAAGCACTCCCGCTCCTCCTATTCCGAGTCGTCTCCCCTCGTTTCCCGCAACAACTCCCTCACTTTCCGCCCCCCTAAGCGCTTCATGTCCTCACCCGACAAGACCATTGCCGTCATCAATGCCAGCGGTCGGCAGGCCGCCTCCTTCATCAGAGTCGCCACCGCCGTCGGATACCACGTCCGCGCCCAGTTGCGCAACCTCGAAGGTGTTGTAGCCACTGAAGTGAACTCAAATCCCAACGTGACCGTCCTCGTTGGTGAGCTTTACACGCGACACAAGCCCACACCCGACAACCGCGACGTCACCAAGAATGGCCCCATTTCCGGCGTAGGAGTGAACCATGAGCTCATCAGCGACCTTTTCAGGGGCACGCAGCTAGCCTTCATCAACACCACCTTCTACGGCGATGAGTTTCAGATTGGCAAGGCGCTTGCCGACGCCGCCAAGAAGGCGAATATCCAGCACTACATTTACTCATCCATGCCGGATCACTCAGCCTACAACTCTGAGTGGCCATCATTGCCTTTATGGGCCTCCAAACACCAGGTCGAGGAGTACATCCGCAAGATTGAACTTCCTGCGACCTTTGTGTACACGGGTATCTACAACAACAACTTCACGTCCTTGCAATACCCTCTCTTCTGCATGGAACTGCAGGCCGATGGGTCCTTCCGCTGGGAAGCTCCGTTTCACGAAGATGTGAAGCTGCCATGGATCGATGCTGAGCATGATGTCGGGCCCGCCATCATCCAGATCTTCAAGGACGGCGCGTCAAAGTGGCGTGGCCGGCGCGTCGCGCTCGCCTGGGAAATGCTGACGCCGCGTGAGGCCTGCAAGGTCTTCGCCAAAGGTGTCGGTCGGCCCGTCAAGTATGTCAGGGCGCCTATCCACCTCAAGGTGAAGATTCCTACTGGATATCGAGAACAGCTCGAGGCTCTGGAAAAGCTCTTCGGTCTTGGCCACGATGACCCCAAAAAGCAACCGCCATACTTTGGCGACGCCGAGCTCGACGATAGCTGCCCGGAGCAATCCATGGCGCTTTGGGAAGGGCCTCGGGGCCTGGAGGAATACGCACGAGAGGTCTTCCCGCTCGAGGAGCAAGCCAATGGTCTTACATGGATGCTTGAAGAAGAAGATTTGCACGAAGAAGTGGCCCAGGGCCATACAATTTCCCAGGAGAGGGTCGATGAAGAGCATGGAGAAGAAGGAGAGGAAGAAGACGACGAGGACGAGGGACTCGTGATGAGAGGACTGAAGAGGGACGAAGAACAATGGCTGGCCTAACATGTCGCCGCCATCGACGGGCCTTTGGCTCCCAGGGTCAACAGCCAACAAGGGAAACAACAAACTTACCTGGGCATAAATACGTTCGACGGATATCCGTCTATTTTCTTTCGTGGTTGCAGGCCGTGGCGTCGCGGGCGCCATGTTGTCCTGCTGTGGAGGAGGGGGTTTTTCATGACCTGAACGATCTATGGAGGCACTGAAGCGCGCGGTTGGGTTGACGACCTGCGTTTGCATAGCGGCTACAGAGGATTTGACTGGGCAAATATTATGAGCGAGCATAATAGTCCGTTCGACGACTCGGATGCGATTCTGGCGCGGCGTTTGGGTATTGGAAGACGAAAAAAAGGTGAAATCGAACACCGCACAGTCGGGGTTCGGGTCTGGATGTTTGAATTTAGGAATGGATTGGGTTGACAAGGCCAAGCAGGAAGCTGCCAATGAAATACAATCCATGGAAGATGAGACGTTTTAAATGAATATCTCTCTCGCTGCTTTTTGACCTGCGTTATGTTTGCTGTTGGAACTTTGGTGAATTGTTGTCTCCACGCGCTGCATGCCACGCACAATGATGACGCAGTCGAGGGACGCAAGAGGAGGGGAAGCGGATGAGGAGCGTCGATCAACGGTCCAGCGCGTGAAGCTGAGATATATAGGAGAGTTTCTCGACTGTGCGGCGCGTGGCCGACCTACCAACGGACCCTGTCCACGCTGCACGGCCAACGGGCGTGGGGGGACTCGCGTGGGAGGCTGTCAACGCCGCCAGATATGACTGTTGTGGGCAGCCCATGTAGTGGGACAAGATAACGACGGGCGAGGACAATCGTTATCTGGGTAAGGGGTAAACTCACGTATCTCCCAGCTCCCAGCGGAGAAGGCTTGCTTCGGCAGAGGCCTCTCTCTTCTGCTGCACACAAGGTCGGTTTACAACTGATTCGACTTCGAGGGACCACGTTCCGACTCCTCGGCACCTGGAAGAAAGGGTGGTGTCTTACGGAACATGTTTATTGGGGGGTCTTCCCGAGTCTTGGCCTGCCGCTCCGAATGCAGAGACATGATGTATCGACCAGAGCCGGACATACAAATGCCGAGGTAAGGTAAAGCTTATCTACGGATAAGGTGCGATCAAGCTCCTGGCTAATCTTCATTTTGCCTTGCCCACTGCTCCCCTTTGAAATCAGTAGGGCCATGGGCACATGATGCAGTGGCGGGTTCTGTCCGGTTTGACGTCAAGACCGAGCTTACGAAGGAACCGGAAAGGGCTCACACGTGCGTACTGAGTGCTCTCTCACGAGTGCAGGACATGTTCCGCAGCCAGGGCAAGCCACCCGAACTTGTGTGATCTGCCGTTGCGTTCGTGCTTCCACTGCCTTGAGATGAACCGAGCAGGTCTATGTCCGCCTGGACAGGGATAGCCACTTTGTGGAACAAGCAATGGCTGAACAGCCTTATAATCAGCCAAGCGTCGACGGGCTCATACGCTGTCTTCTTCCTCAAGTTATATATACTCCGCTCTGATATTTATCTTGCACAATGAGTTGGCGCTGATCATGGATTCAGTGGGTTTAAGTCGCCCAGACACGACGCTAGGCAGCTTCCATTGCTTGATCTATATCTGGTGGCGGTGTTGCCCATGGTGACCATGCCGGCCATGGTTGCTCTTCTGGCCGTGGTCGCCATGGTTGCTCTACTCGCCGTTGGTCGCCATAGCTTCTTGCTAGCCATCGTCGCCTTACTCGCCCTGCTGGCCGTGCTAGCCCCGCTGCCTTCACAAAGATCGGATATATAGAATTGAGGGGTGATTGGTGAGTCCGATGTCTCTGTGGTGTTAGTGCATTGTAAATCGCAGGTTCGAACCTTCTAAGGGCATCGTTAAGTCCAACTTGGCGCCGTTTACGAGATATCTCAAAACGTCTCATTCGCTCCCTGCGGCCTTTCCTGAAGAGTGCTTCGAAGCTTTTTGGGCTTGGACTTCTTGTTTCCGTACTCTTGATGATGGACAGCGTAGTCATCCTAGTGACTGTGCGGGCTAGTTCCATGCGCTGGGTCTTCACATGCCTCAAGTAGAACCATCTCTGGTACAGCCGAAACCAATACGAAGTGCGACGGCCACAGCTATCGAGCAAGCGCTGCATCATAGCCATGGTATTGATAGGTACGGGGAGGGATGTGTTGGGGTATCGGTCTCCATCGGGATCCGACCCATACTCGAGCAGGATCCGCAGTGACCTCAAGTGCCCCATTGCCTTAGCCATCCCGAGTGGCGTCCATCGTTCCCCGGACCGGAGTCGGTTTCTGCGCCTGTCTGGAGTAGTAATTCGAGGCAGTCCGTCGATTCCTGCTTTGCAGCAATGATGAGGAGAGTTTCGAGCGAGTTCCTGATGTCCCAGTGACGGAGCTGCCGTCCAGCGATGTGTTTCGAGAGAAGCATCTTGACTATTGTGACATTATTCTTCTTTACCGCCAGCTCCAGGGCCGTCAGTAGATTGGTGTCCCGCGCGGCTCTGTCAAGGCGCTTGTCTTTACAGATCAGCCTGACCAGTTCTGCATGGCTGACAATCACAGCCATGTGAAGTAGTAGGTAGCCGGCATACATCACATTAACGTCCACGCCATCAAGAGTAAGCAACGCTGTGTCGGGGGTTGCGACCTTGTTCATATTCAGAAGGCGCAGAATAGGATGTTGACGGAAAGCGAGAATCGAATGCTCATTGTCATTTGTGAGAATCGAAGCTAGTTTGTGGCAGTGGCTTAAAGACCATTTGAATAGCTCTTCCAGGAGATGATGCAGTCGCTGGCATAAATCCCGAAAGGTCCACTCAGGTAACTGAAATGATTTGTCGAGCACAGTTCCGAGAACCAAGTAGGATATCGTGCTTCTTAAAATAGTCATCATGGGGAGGTCATATCGCGGCTGCAGGATGCCATCCTGTGAGGCATCCGAGGCGATACCAAGTAATGCAAAAATATCATCACGCTCATCCGACGCCTGGCAATCGCCGAATCGTTGGAGCAGCGTCTTCAGGCTCCGCGACTCGGGCTTTCTGTTCTGCCATCGCAGAGGCCCTGGCATAACCGCCAACAGGGCCTGTTGTTGTAGGAGGGGCTCGATGCCCATAGCGGCCGGCATGAGAGCGAACGTCCTCGACCTGACCGCACTGTACCCACAGACGACTGTGGCCGTTTTGGCGTTGTAGGCTTCCTGGATGACCCATATCCTCTCGAACCACTTCCTCGCGAGAGTTTCTCGGAGTGCATCGCGCAGCATGTTAAGTTGCCAAGCCGGAATGCGACTGCCTTCGTACAAGAGATCTGACCACCGGGCAATCCATGTATCGATCGGTGCCCGCCGAGATATCTCGGCGCTTTCTTTGTCGAGCCGTTGAATCATCTTGAAGAGGGTATCGGTCTCATGGCTGCCGGGTCCTAGCCAGATGATAACATTGTCGGCATTCTCGTAGATGCGCTTCATCTGGCCGACCTGGTGATTGCGCTCCTTGTGATGCTCCTGGTCAATGCATACAGCGTCAACCCAGAGAAATATATCTGTCGTCTCGTTTCGTAGATGATCCAGTGCATCATAAAGATTTCTTGTGATACCAAACGTCCTTTCGTCAAATTTGATCTCAATGCGGTCGGAAGCATCACCCCACGTGTATGACAGAGCCTTGTAATGTATCAGATTTTCGTCGTCCAGGATTGCCTGAACCAGATTGCATCGGATGGGATCGAAATGGCCACCTTTGCGAAGAATGAGGAGGCGAATGGCGCGTAGGTGGAGAGGTCGAGGTGCTCGTATGGAAATGAAGACATGGCGAGCTTGGGTTCGTGGTCTATCAACGAAGTACCTTCTTGGACGATGTGTTTGAGAATGACAGTAAGGCTAGGTTAAGGATTGTATAACGAATGGATCAGGAAACAACGCTGAATATGTATGTCTTTGGACGCAGGCTGCAACGAACGAGCTGTGCTTCGTGGTGGGTGTGAGGTCTACCCGCCTATCACACTGCGTCGTACAGTTCTGCTGAGCCGACTGCGTTGTCAACGCCTAATACGCTGCGTCGTACTGTTCTGCCGAGCCAAGTGTGTCATCAACGCCTCGAATTCCAATCAGCCTACTGTAACAGTGTATTCGTTGGTCCAGCAGGCCCGAGCAGAGATATCGCCGAACGCAGGTTGATGGGTCGTGAAGCCAATTAGCAAACTCAGCCAGTGCCTCATTATTCGGCCTCTATATACGAATGCCCAAACATCCAGACCTTGATGAAGGAAATGCCATCCTTGTCCTGACATCCCATTACTGCTCACCCGAGCCTGCCTGCCTGCCATGTCCCGTTGATCTCTAATGCTTATGCTTCATTTCATCGTAATTTGTATACCGAGAGTTGATTCATGAATCCCTCAATCAGTCTCTTGTGTCGGTTTGCTCAACCAAAACATTGGCCTCTTCATCATCCTGCGGCGGGGTTGTCCTCCCTACCATGTCATTCTCGACTCGTGACTGCTCTCGCATCTTCTTCAGCCTCTCCTCGCCCAACAAGGATCTCACACGCTCTATGCGGCCTACGGCGCCCTCAAGCCGATCGAGCCTCCGCTTCTTGTCCGCCTCTCTTTTCTCTAGCGTCTCAACCCGCTCCTCAAGTCGAGCCCTTGCCCGCCGTTCCGTAGCCACCATTTCATTGGCTTGCTCAAAAAGAGAGACGGACAGCTCTTCCACTTCCTGGTCCGTGGTGCTCAAACGTGACTCGGCGGCGCGGCGAAGATGCTGCTCATGATGCAAAGCAGAGAGCAGGTCGGCATGCGCATTCAGCGGGTGCGCCGGACCATCATCCCCGAAACCCTCCTCCTCCGGCGCCGGGGTCCTTGTCAAAGTCGGCGTCGACGGAATGGAACTCGGCCGAAGATTAGGCGTCGATTTGCGCGACAGCATCGCTGACAGGCGATTCGCAACGCCTGCGGTCGGGAGGAATGATGATCTGCTCGGAGATGGGAGGGGTTGTTGTGGCGGTGACTGCTTGGGCTGAGGCTGGGCGTTGACCTGCTTGCGGAGGTTCGCAAGCTCGTCCTCGTAATCGGCCCAACGGTCAACGGCAGCGGTGGCTTTCTGGTTCAGTAGACGGACCTGGGCCTCCAGGTCGGCGATGCGGGCTTGGGCTTCAAGGAGAGAAGCAGCTGCTTCTTGGATGTAAGCACTGTCTCTGTCTGCGGAGCGGGCCAGCTCCTTTGTGGTGGGTTCGAGGGGTGGTGGGAGGACCAAGCCGCAGCCTGGGCAGCAATGGGAGGCGGATGGCGGCGGGGACGGGGGTTCGGTCGATAGCGAAAGAGTCGCCGGCAGTGGCGGCGTGGTCGATGTCGTCGTCATGGTGAGAGTCGCACTCATGGTGTGCGTGTGCTGTGGTGGTTGTGCTCGAGGTAGCCAGGAGGCGGTCTGAAAAGGCGTCTAGACTCTTTGTGACTGTGAACTTGCGCCAACGGAGGAGGGAAAACGGCGACCGAGAGTCAAGCTGGCCGAATTGATGATCTCTCCAACGGATGATGGGTAGGGGGTCGCGTGGGGGCGGGAGGAGGCGCCTGGCATTTTATGATTCTTGAACTACTTCGCTTTGACGCTGCATGGAAGGACGATGGACGATGGCTGGGCTAAGTATCGGGCTGGGCTTTGGGTTTGCGTCGGGCTGAGGTATGTTTGGTGGCGGGGGGAGAGTCTAAAAAGGTGAAGCCCCCTCTAGGTCCCGGTCATTTCTCACATGGGCAGCTGCGCCCCTGCGCGGTACGAAGATTAATTAGGATTAGGCGGAAGGGACGACTGGACGAATGGGGGGGTTCCAGGGACACGGAAAGGAAGGGACGTGGAACGAGACCAGGAAGGAAGCATGGATCATCGTAGTGCATCCATAAGAGGCCCCACATTCTGGGGGCTGTCACTGCACTTTTCCAACGACAAGCCACATCGTTGAATGCAGCAGAGGGCAAGGGGTACCTGTCAAGCTCGAAGGACCTTACTATGTATATTGAGGGAGACTAAGTCAGGCAGGCGCTCTGGGCTCTGGGCAATCTCAGTGACGACCGACGACCGTGAGAGCTACCTGTCTGTCCAATATTGTGTCGGTGTTGCTTGGGCGTGCTCCGACTGCAGCGAACAGCAAACCTGCCACGCATCATCCTCCGTGCTCGACCTCCCGCTCAAACGGGCCCAGGCCAATATGTCCAGTCAATTAACCCCCTTCCCCCCCCCGCCATGCCAGCTGCATATGCCAAGGTGGTATCCGAATTTTCTGAAGCCTTCGCATGGCGGACTTGCTTAACCGATGACAAGGCCAACTTCTGGCCGTGCTTTGTCGGAGCTCCCCTGCTCTTTGCTCCTCTTGCCGCGAGTTGTCGTACTGGTACGACGGTCATGCTCATGCTGCCGTGTTTCAGACACTGACCTGACTGGGGGCGCATACCTCTCGCCAACACGACCGGCAAGGCCGAGGGAAATCTGCCAGGTCGATCAGTCGGCTCGCGGGTGCCCTTCCGGCGGACACTACGGTCGTCAATCGCATCGTAGAGCTTAGCTTTGTCTTCAATTGGGCTTCGCGACCTTGCGCAACTCGCCAACCCCCGTTTCCGGGTCCCTATACTCCTTCCAGCTCACAGGCACCATGTCGTTGCCAGCCTCACTCGTCGCCATGATGACTCCCAGCTCGTTGCTCGCCGTCGACAGGTAGTAATTCGCCTGGTCACCCAAGGAGATCTGTCCTGCAGTCAGCACCATACTCGCAATACCTAGCGGCTTGCGCCCCGGATCGGACTCACCACCTGCGCCTTCACAATGTCGCCTGGCTTGAACGCTTCATGGATCTTGATTTTGTCCTTCTCTGTCGCTCGTACGTCTTGCGACCGAATGACCCCTTGCCACTCCGTCTGCAGCACCGTGTCGCCAACCTGCTGAATCGACACTATCGCCTGTCGAGGCATCAGGCGCAGCACGCGGCATAGCACGATGTTGCTGACATCGGGCAGTGCCTCGCGCTTCTTGCCACCATGCCTCGACACCGAGATCGTTGCTCGGTCCGCCGGCGAGTTGAGAACGCCGGCAATGCGCGTCAGGCGCTTGGCCGGGCCGTTTGCTGAGGCAGGTGTGTCGACGGTTACTCGGCCGAGCAGGGAGGAGACGACGATGCCTTCATGAATGTGAGTGCCGGCGCCGGAGCGGTAGCGAGAGGCTGGGCCGAGTGCGGTGCCGGGAACGGCAGTCTGAGGAATGGCGTCCGTTGCCATGGCCGGATGATCCGAAGTCCCAGAAACCCTGCAAGTGTGAGTGAGTTCTCTCGAAATCGTGATCGGTTGTGAGGGGGGTGAGTGGTGGTGAGATTTGGCGTCGCAAGCTGTCGCTGGTCAGGAAGGCTGGCAAGTGAATGAGTGAGTGGGAAATTTTGGTCTCGGTCGCGACAAGCAGTAATCGCTTCCCGCGGATCGCGTTAGTGCTCAATGGGCCTGTGGTGCAGCTGGCGACCCACCACGGGCACTGCAAAGATCTCGTCTGACAGGCGCTTTCGGGATTTCGAGCCACTCCGTCTCCATTCTCAGGCCATCGGGAAGAGACGTCCCCGGCGGTAACAACAGGCAGAATCTGTTGTTAGGGGTCCAGCGAAAAAACACCCCCCCCAACGCTTGTTGTGGTCGACTGCTCGCTCGACTCTGCAAGTTCATAAGGGTTGCCGACACCTCCTCCATCGAGCCCGCGACTCCATCTCAAGCCAATTGCGCTCCCACACTCCTTCACCTTTTTTCCCCTGTACTATTTCCGTCCGGCTCATCCGCGCAAACATGTCTCCACCGCGCAACAACAGCATTGGCGGCTGGTTCTTCTTCCTGGCCACCCTTCTCGGTATCTTGACCCCTATCTACGTCGTCCTCGAGAAGAATTTGGAGAACTTCTATGTCTTCGACCTCGACCACCTCCACGACCTTCAACTCCGCGCCATTGCCGAGCATGGCAACAACACGGCCGACATTGTCAACTACATCGTCGCCGAGCTGAACGAGAAGCACCCCGACGTCGTGAACCTGCACGAGGAGTGGGTGTTTAACAACGCCGGCGGCGCCATGGGCGCCATGTACATCATCCACGCCAGTAAGCTCAGCCTACCTTCTGACCTATCTGTGACTCTAACTGACGTGATTGCCAGGCATCACCGAGTACCTCATCATCTTCGGTACAGCCATTGGCACTGAGGGTCACACCGGCCGCCACACCTCCAACGACTACTTCCACATCCTTACTGGCACCCAGCTCGCCTACGCCCCCGGACCTGGCGTCTACACCCCTGAGGTCTACACCCCTGGCACCGTTCACCACCTCGTCCGCGGCACCGTAAAGCAGTACAGCATGCCCGAGGGCTGTTTCGCCCTCGAGTACGCCCGCGGCTGGATCCCTCCCATGCTGCTGTTCGGATACGCCGACGGCTTCACGAGCACCGTCGACTTCCCCACGCTGTACCACACCACGCGCATCACGGCCAGGGAGATGATTGGCAATCTCCTGAAGGGCAAGTTCTAGGCTTTGTCCTGGTCTGGCACGCAGGACACGCATAATGTGTAAGATTTATAGACCTGTCGAGATCTGATATAATGTTGTAATGCAGTCTTATGCCGTCTTTGAGGGGACAATAGGCCCTCGAATGGCAGATGGAGTTTTCATGACGACATCCGCACTCTCGGTAAAAACGTGCACTGTTTGCATCATGTGACAAAGTGTTTAATCGGATGAAACGAGTCTGCCAGGCTGACATCTGGTCTGTAATTGGTATCATTGAGGCCGGTAGGCCAATGGAAAGCATTCCTGGACCTCAGCCATGAAATCTCATCTAAACGCTCCTGAAAATATCACCGAGACATCCTATCTGGATGCTTCAACCGGGAAAGACCCCCTACGGACCGATTTCGGTAGTTGGCCTCGGCCTGTCCAACGAAGAGTCATGCTGCGAGTTTACACGTGTTAGTCCTTGATGCCATCCCACTCCGACTCGTCGTCCTGGACAGTCTCGTTCACCTTTTGTGGCGATTCGGGCTGCGCCTCTGCCGCCTTGGGGCTCGCCGGCGCGGCTTTGACCGCCGGCGCCTCATCCCCGGAGCTGGAGTTCTTCCTGCGCTTCTCCGGTTTGGCCCCCTCAGGCTGCTCCTCTTGCTGCCTCTTCTTCGAGGAATCTCCGCTGTGCTGTTGCACGCGCGGCTTGATCTGGTTGCGGTCGTTGCGGAACGCGTCCTGCTTCTGAGGGGGGTCGGGGTGCTTCTCCTTCCAGTCGGCGAGCAGCTCCCTGACCTGCGGCGCCCAGACGGCCTCGCCCTTGGCCAGGTCGTCGTACTCGAGACAGTTCTGCTTGAGCGCAAAGTCGCCCTGCCTGTCGCGGCTCAGCTCGGCCATCATGGCGGCGGAGCCGACCTTGGTGCCGAGGTCGTGGCAGAAGCTGCGGACGTAGAAGCCCGAGGTGACGGTCATGCGGATGCGCGCGGCGGGGGGTCCCTTGTCGGACCAGGGGGCGGTCGTCGTCGGCGGCGGGACGAGGTTGGCGCCCTTTCCTGTGTGGTGTTGGGGCGCCGCGGGGAGCTGGCCCAACGCGCCGGACATTAGCGCTTGGTGCTTAGTAGAAGACGACGACGACGACTTGCGCCGCTTGTGTGGTGGCTTGTCCCTTACGAGCTCGTCCTGCCTCTCCTCAAACTTCTTCTTCTGGTCCTCGTGCTTGTTGACGGCGGCCTCGTCGGCGGCCTCCTCCTCGGGCGTCAGCTTGCGCGCGTTGCCCTGCTGCTTCTCCACGCGCCAGACCTGCTCGGCGAGGTTCTTCTCGGCGGCCTCGGCCTCCTCGGTCGGCCAGTGGTGCTGGTGGGTGCCGGGCTCGAACCACTCGAGCAGCTCGAGCTCCTTGACCTCGACGTCGCGCCCGATGATCTCGCGGGGGATGGGCTTGCCCTCGCGGGCGTACTCGTAGAGGGGCTTGCCCTCCATTTTCAGGGCCGAGTACAGGGGCGGGATCTGCTCGAACTTGCCGCGGAAGCTGTCCATCTCCTTCTCGACCATCTCCCTCGTGATGTGGTCGTAGGGCCTCCGGGTCAGTATCCTGCCGGTGCGGTCGTAGCTGTCTGTGCCGGCGCCAAACACAACGACAGTCTCGTACGTCTTGGTGCAGTCGAGAAAACCCTGCAGGGACTTTGTTCCAGAGCCGACGCCCAGGATGAGGACGCCCGTCGCGAGGGGGTCGAGTGTTCCTCCGTGGCCCATCTTGACGCGCGCGCCCTTCTTGTTGATGCCGCGGCGCTTGAACTGCGAGCCCGACTCATTGAGGCGCTTGCTGATCTCCTGCTGCACAAGGGGTGCGAAAAGGGTCGAAGGGTTGAAGTGCTGCTGGCAGTCACGGATCACCTGAGCAGAGCTCATGCCCAGAGGCTTGTTGATGGCTGCATCGTGGCACAGGTCAACGGAAAGGTCTTGGAATGCATTTCCCTCCCCGAGGCGATGGGGGAGAGGACGTGGCGTAACGTACCGAAGACGCCTTCGAGAACGGTGTCTTTCGCCATCTTCCACAGACGTGCCGTCACTCGCATACGCTCACTATTTCGTTCGAAGAAAGCAGACAGGCGATTGGCGCAAGAAGAACCATCAACTACGTGATTGAATTGATCACAACGATTGGAACTGGGAAGAGAGAAAGGGGGGGTGGAGGACTTGGAAGAGAAAGGCTGGGGAGAAGTTGCAGCAATGGGACCTTCCTACTGCACTTCGTTCCTACCCAGATGCAGCAGCGCATTGGATTTTTTTCTGGAGGGGCCGTTTCGCTATCTTATCAAGCTTTTGCAGTCCGACGACTACGCACGGGCTCTCGAGGTTAGACCCACAGTCGGCACCACCACTAAAGAGGATCGCGTCGGGGGCGCGTGTGCCGTGATCCCTACCTCGACCCCTCTAGAGTCCACTTCATGGATGGTGACCTGCTTCCCCAAGCCGGATATTCCACAAGGATCCTACATTCATAGCTGATTGCATCGCCGCCAACTACATTTACCAGAACATTCACCTTGCCTCGATACAATACAGTCCTGCCTGGATCATCACCTATATCAATGTCCTAAGTCGCATCAATCGACGACCCGCACAGTCACAGCAGCAACATGGGGAGGAAGCGCCGATCGTCCAACTCGACCGTCGCAACGGTGGACGAGGACACCATCACCTACGCCAAAGAGACCAGCGTGCTGAAGCTTGCGGTTCTCGACGAGAACAGCGAAGAAGAGACATACGTTCTGGAGGATGTCACAGTCTACGGCAAGGATGGCCAGATGGCCAATCTCCTGTCTGTCTACTTTGATGGGCCTGTAGTCGTGCGCGGCTTCATCAAGGCTGACGAGGGCCAGCAAAACATGTGTATGACTGCTTCCCCCCTCACTGATAAGATCTTGCTGAGATGTCTGACGTGCCGCTTGACAGTTCGAAAACGCACCACAAAGTCGGCATACATCGAGATTACAGATTGCGTACGATATTCCGTCGGCATTGCCGAGGGCGAGGAAAAGAGCCCATGTGTCTGGGCGGGCGGCAAGTGCGGCTGGTTCGAGATCAGGCCCCCTTCCATCGACTACACTCCAGTCTACAATAAGATGGCGCAGGCTGTGTCACTCTATTACAACATGCTCGAGGTCCATGATGCGCACAGAGAAGCCGTCAAGCTCAAGAAGGGCAAGAGAAAAGGAAAACGACCGAGCAACGAAGAGGTGTTCAAGAGCTTGGATGTCGACACTATGTTCTTCCAGGTAAGCGAGCCTTTCCCTTTCTCTCGCATCAACCGCTAACATGCGACGAAATCAAGTACGCCGTTATTGCTGGCGACGGCTCCCTGTACCATGAGGTCATCGACGCCTGCGACGAGCATGCCTCGTTTCTCATTGCCCATTGCTATGAAGAGGAAGACTTTGATTGGACCCATACGACCTTCTTTGTATGGCTGACGCAGAGGCATAAGGAGCTGACTGCCAAGGTCGAGGAGATTGAGAAGAAGAAGAAATTGGGCATCATCAAACCAGCAGCGGAAGGTGTTGTAACAACACAGCAGACCAGCGCTGCCGATCCGCCAAGTCAGAAGGCGTTGTCGAGGACATCGCAGCGAAGGGCGACGCGGTCGACAAGTGCTGCCGATGAAGAAGTCGACACGCAGGATTTCGCCCCACAACGTACCTCCCGTCGGTCAAAGTCAACAGAACAAGCTTCAGCCGCTCCCGTTGCGGACGTCATGGATATCGACCCTCAACCTAAGACCCAGGAGAAATCCTTCGACGATCCTGTCGTAGCGGGTGGCATTTCCGAAGACGATACGCGCTCCCCTGGGCAGCGACTCGCCGACGCGTTTGAGTTCGTCCGAAGCTATCACAATATCCCACCACACAAAATGACCTTGGCGAGCATGAAATCGCAAGTCTACTACAAATTCAAGATGAAGACCTACGAGGCACCAGCAGAGATTTTCTCGTACTACGCGAGCGAGTTGTTGCCCTTGCTTGACGAGCAAGTCTGGGGAGCCTCTGCTCTGTACCGGGTCATAAAGGAAGCAGCCGAGCGGCCACGCATCACTCCGACCTTGTTTGAGCCCGCTTTGATCAATGAGTACACTACACCGCGAGCTAAGAATCCGGCCGCAGGCACGGCGATTGAGCACCACCGAAAACCCATTGGGAAATCTCCCAGCATGGGTCACAACATGGAGACGCCCCCGCGTAAAGTAGGTCGGCCGTCTGGCAAAATGTCTGGCCTTCGACCGTCTTTCAAACACGCGCTCTCTGATTATGATTCGGAGGACTCCCGGGCGACAAAGGTGGCCAAGACAGCTCACATTATCGACGACGAAGAGGACAACAGTGAGTCTGATACCGAGGAAGACGAAGAGGAAGATGTCGCAGCCGATGGCCCGCCCCCTGTGAAGGTGGTCATCCGCACCGAAGCTCTCCTGGATACAACACCCAAGGGCCCCCATGGCACCTGGGTCTGCGATCAGGAAGACGGCTGCGACTTTGTGGAGCGCAACCCAGGCGACAGCGACGGCCGCGAGCGGATACAGCAGCACATCAAGGACGCACACTACGAGGAGCAAGACGAGCACATGCTCAGCATCATGAACCTTGCCAAACTGGAAGGCGGAAAAGGCCATCTACCCGTTGAGTATGACCCCCCTTTCGACCCTAGATACCACGTGTGACATCGTAACAGCCCAGTTGATCGCTCTGTACCCGCCACCCTGGTCTGGCGCAAACGGTGACGATGCTCCACTGGTTTCCCCTTTTTCTCATTCCAAAACCACAAATTTATTTCACATGTCATGATTCGATGGTTCTAACAAAGATCCGCCTTAGTCACCTCTTGGAGAAAATCCGCGCCATGGGCGAGAAGACGTCCAAGGACCAGCAAAAGACAATCAACGGGCAAACCGTCCCCCAACCAATCAAGCGCCGCTTGCTCATCTGAATTACAGTCCACGCCGTGCTTCGCGAACCGTTTGCTTGGCCATTCAGTTTGCTGTCGCCTCGCTGCATCAAAGCCGAGGGAGGATGGGGGTGTGGGGGGTTCTTATGATTTGACGAAAAACCTGTAGTCTACTTCGGCGTTTGGGGTATGCCGGGACATTTGATGACATGAACTTTGCGGAACGATGACTATCTAGCAACTTAGAAAATTGCTAGCTGACACAAGGACACAATGTTTTTTCGGCGAGGAAGAGATCGGTGTCATACGAGCTCAGCAGGGCACGAACCAAGGCCGGACGGATCCTCAACGACCTGAGATGCTATGTGTAGGAAAGAAAAGTGCCCTGTCCACCCTGTCATCATGCGTCGAGTGAGACATGTTCTTCGTACTTAAAATTGTCCTCCACGCCAAGCCTAGTTGGCACCCTCGTAGGAAGCCCAAGTGTGGTACGTCGTGGTTAGTGGACATTCACAGACCGGTCAAGTCCATCGAATCACATGTTGTACATCGTTGGAAGTGCTGCTTGGAATATCGAGTAGTTTTGTTCATATTGTTTGCCAGTTGCCTGCCGGGCCCAGGATCCTGAGCCTACTGTATGATACTCGAAACCAGATGGGAGGGGAGAGCCGGCACCCAGCTCGGGGTGCCTCTCAGCCACCCGCCCTTCTAGGCCCGGCGCAGGCCCGGCCACTTCAACATCGAGCCACACTGACGAGGCCCTCGTCCCACCCATAGATGAAGTACAGGTATTTGATACCAATGCTTCCGCCCTCAGTGCCTCGCCAGTCCGCGCCACGGCTTGAGCTCGGCGCGTATCGACCATGTATATGGCCGCGCCTCGGAAGCTCCGAGCAACCTTTGGCGGAGAAACTCCCATCTGAAGCGTCACCAAAGCTATGCCTGCCGTATACTGAGGTGCCTTCTATGCTCCAACACTGCACTCGAAGAATGCTTAGACCCGTCTCGCGTCGCGATAGTCTCGGGCTGCCCTCCAAGACGCCTTGTCGTCGGCTGAAAGCTCTGTGCTCAGCGTTTCCACACCGGCGCCAATGGCGTCAAAGAACGCCAGGCTCATTTCAAGGTCCTCTGCGAAGTTGATCGCATTCGGCACAAAGTTGGCCGGGAAGGCGCTCAGCCTCGCTTGCCGCACCTCTGGAGTGTCAGAAGTAGAGACCTCGGTCAAGAAGGTCTTTACGGCAATGCCCAACGCGACATCAGGGCTGTGAAGGAAGGGAAGTCTGGGAAATGTTAGTCCGGTTCAAACATTCAAATCGCATGTTTTCACTTGCCTCTGCTTCAATGTCAGGTAATCGTCTCTGTCCCTCTTGGACTGAGCGTGCAGGAACATTGAGGCAACGATAGCTTCGATGAGGTCTCGGTCTGCTTCTCGAACAGTCGTGGATAGCGAACGGAAGTACAGCAGGGGCTTGCTGAGTGGTCCCGTGTATCCATTGGCTTCGTGTCGCAGCTTCAGTAGAGAAGCGCAGCGACCGATGAGGAGGCTGCTGCCCTCTTCCGCATCGGTGCCATTCTGCGAGTTCCCGTTGGCTTCTCCGTAGCCAGTGTGCGCATGCAAAACGCCAAGCCGGATCAACTCAAAGGCCATCAGAACAGCCTCGTAGCCCTCCAAGCCACCAGGTCGGCTTTGACTCGTCCAGGTCTTGAGACTCATAATCGCCACGGCCAGTGCGTTTCCCCAACCTGTCAAGCCATGGGCGTTATCGACATAGCCCCTAAGCTGTAGAAAGCGCCAAATAGCGAGCGAGGTGATCTCATCAGCCGAGTTGATGCCCTTGATGCGTTTCTCCTTGGGGAAGGTCTCCTTGGCAAAGTCGGGGAAGAGCAGTGAAAGCACTTCAAATGAAATGGATCCTGGTTTCGCGTCCGTAACCTCGCTCTTCTTGAAGCTGCTTTCTTTAATGTCCCAAGTCGCTGCACGTCCTATCGGGTTAGGTTGGACGCCGGCGTGGTTGAGCTTTTGTGAGAGCTTGTCGTCGTACCAGACCTTCAACATGACGTCTTGGCGTGAGATCCAGCGGTTCAGACGTGGCATCAACAGCGCAAGCGTCTGCCTCCCCGGATGGGGAACCAAGTTGGGTTGTGAACCAGTTTCTTTGTATTCTTCTGA